CCTTAGGGGCTCTAGTCCTGCCCACAGGCCGCGGGAAAGGGGCGCTGGACGTCCTGCCATGGTCCTGTGGGATTCGGGTGGGCGTTGTCCTCAGCTCACCTGCTCCTGAAGACGGGGGCGCTGGTGGCAACTTCAGAGCGAGTTCTGTGATGAGGGAAGAACAGCTCTGCAGCCTCGGAGGCACCGCTGGGGCTGTGATCCGTGAGCAGAGGCATCGTCCCTCTGCACCTCTGTCCTCTCTGGGAAGCCGAGATGGCATATGGATGATTTATGTGGACGTTCGGTGGGATCACAGGTGCAACCAGCTCACACATTGCCAGGCAGTAAGTGAATGAATCACAAGTTAATTCATAAATGCTGAATCTCATCTCTCCCAAATGTGTGGATTTGTATCACAATGGCTAACACAAATTTCTAGGTCATCACTAGAGAGATGCAGAGTGAAAGGAAGTGTGTGTGTGTGTGTGTGTGTGTGTGTGTGTGTGTGTGTGAAGCTGTGGAGGAAACCAAGGGTCTTGTGCATGCTAGACCAGTGCTGCTCCACCACCAAGCTACATCTCCAGCCTGGGCAGTTACCTTATGAACAGGTGAATTTTGGAGAGGTAAATAGATGAATACAAATTAATACTAATGCTCATCACAGAGGGAAAGTCTCAAAACAGCAAGGTGGAAAAAGTAATAAGGTAACCCAAATATATATATACACACACACACACACACACACACACATACATACACATATTTATTTATTTATTTATTTGGTAGAACCACAAAGAGGGGCTGGTAGCCAGGACCATCACAAAAATAGTTGTCCCTCCCCGTTCCGGGCGATGCAGGTACTCTCCAAGTTCAGGGCTGGATTGTCCCTCATGGCAAAAAGCTGGGGAGGAAACTCATCTTTCTCAGGAAATATCAGCATCCAAGTCTCAACAGCTGTGGGCTTGTAAGGCTGTTTGCTGTACAGAACTACTTGGAAAGTCAGTAGGAATGAAGGTTGTCAAAGAAATGCAAAGCCTGTGTGACTCCAAAAGAACTGCTTCCTGACCACTACCCTTTCAACCAGGAGGCACCAAGTTTCCTGAAGTTCAGGAGAGAGGGGATATGCATTGCATCAGGAAATGCTATGGACAGCTCTCTTTGATATCATCTACAGGTCTCAGATGTTTACCAATAAATAAATCTGTTTTATTATTTATTGCATAAACTGGAGTGATCAAAAGCAGCCCAGCCCAGCCTTGTTCATATCTTTATGAGAGTCCTGTAAATATCTTTGTGTTTTCCTTTCTCATTGTCTTGAGGAAGGCAAAGCCCTTATCCACGTGAATAAGTTCGTGAAGGTACTATCTTAATTTCTGTGTAGTTCACTCAGAACATAAATAAAGGTACTATCTTAATTTCTGCGGAGCTTACTTGGAGCGTGCATCATGCTCTTAGGCTGTGGGCTCTGAGAGATGTGCAACCCTTAGACAGAACAAAAACGTTTTCACTACTCTCTGGGCCTTATTGAACTGTGATCTCTACCTTTTTGGATGCAATAAGTGACTTCTGATTCATTGCTCAGTATTCCAGAGAACTAACAGTTGTTTCAAAAGAATGCAACAAAGATGGGGTTAGAGCCAAAAATGGTAGAAAGTTTGGGCAAGTGTCTCAGAATCCATTATATGTTTCTGTATCCAGTTGATTTCTGCATCTGTGCCGAGGCACTCTTTCTGAATCTTGACCCTGTCTATGCAAATGGAGAAGCAGAGAGTGTTGCCTGCAGGAAAAAGCCCACAGTTAATACTGAGGAAATTATGCAGGATTTTGTAGTTTTTGTTTGTTTGTTTGTTTGTTTAGAAATTTTTATTGCTTATGCCACCTTAAGGACCAACACAGATCATCCCAGAGAAGAAACAAAGTAACTTGACAGACATAGGTCCACCTTTAATTTCTTAAAACACAATAATTGCTTAGAAATGATCTCAAAATACATTTTTTCTCTTTTTTGTATAAAAACATAGACATTTGTTCTCATTATAGATATAGATTTTCCCATCTTCTTTTATGTATTTACTCTTAGGATCCTAAAAATCCTCCAGGTCCTATTTAAGCAAAGTTCTTTCAATTAAGAAATCATTATCATACTATAGTAATTTAAAGCTTATTTTTGTCTTGATACTTTCACCTGAAGCCTGTTATAATATGAAATGGTTAAGGATGATTATATATATTCTTGTTGAATTCTTTCACCAAGAGTTTTATCAGGAGTTTAAATTGAGAACTAGTGAAATTCTCTAATAAAAGTTCTTGAACCAGTGAGACCTTGTCTCCGTCACTGTGCCAGTCAGAAAGGTTTAAAGTCGCGTGACTTAAAGTTAACAACAAAGTTAAAAACCACTGGACAAATCAGACAGATGCTACATTTTCTATTAGACTGTCCGCAGCACAGAAGACTTACATCAGTTTGATAAGAATGCCAAAACAAAAGATCACAGGCTGGGTGCTTAGCCAACAAGTTCATTTTCTTACAGTTCTGGAGACAGAGTTCAAATCCACATTGCGGAGGGGCTAGCTCCTCCCCGTGTCTCTCCTGGCTTTCTTCTTGCTGTGTCATTTCACAATCTTTTTACTGTTCACATTAATCCCTGGGGTCTCTTCTCATATGAAGACCTTTTTTGGATTAAGATCTTAACTTTATGGCCTCCTCTAACCTTAATTGACCTCTTCAAAGACCCTGTCTTCAATGGAGTAAGGGCTTCAACACAAAAATTTCAGGGACGCTATTCAGTCCCTAGCCGTGCTTCATGCCCAGCAGGCATGAATGGTGACTGACCCTCTGGTGTCGAGGACAAGGCCTGGGATGTAGTGCACAGATGTATAAATATCCCCAGAAAATCCACAATCCGGTTTTAAACACAAAATCTTTTTCTGCAACTAAATATGAAGGTAAGATAAAGAGAAACCAAAGAAACAAATAAAGAACTAGATACCATACAAGGGCTTCTAGGGCTTGACAGCACGAGGAGGGAGAACTAGAGGAACATGGGGTGGTCCAGGTGGCCACTGCATGGAGGGAGTTATTCCCCAGAGGTTTCCAGTTATTTGTTTCCAGCAAACAAAATGTTTGTTGCGTTTCCATAATGTTTAAGACTGATCATTGCGGAGGGCAAGGGATATTTCCCAGAACAGAAAAAATGGAAGGAAAATCACTCTCATCAAATTTCAGAAAGATCTATTGTATGCTAAGTAATAAACAAATTGTAATTCATTAAAAAAGAATAGTTAGGCAGTAAACAGAACTGTGATTAATAGAAGATTCATTTTATGAATTAATTGATGCTATTAATGGACATAAGCTAAAGATTTATGTGTTTAATTAAGTTTGGGCCTCATGTGGGAAACTGGCTTTAAAAGCAAAAAAGCCTCTTCTCCCACCAACACTCTCATAAAATGAGCCTTGTCTGTGTTCTTGGGAAGCAGGGGTGATGAACTTCAGTCCTGGTGTGTCCTTCACACGGAGCCCCACGCATAGATATCCTCCAACCATCACGGCTGGGCAGACTGGAAATGCAGATGTTGATCGTGTCCCAAAGAGTCCAAACTTCTGCCGTATGAAAACCCAGATTCACCTTCTCCTTAGCTCCTCCCACAATGGCAGGAGGAGGCTGAGGAAAGTCCACCTATGCTTGTTCATAAGGAGGAAAGCTTGCAATATGCCAAATTCTGGAAAATGTAAGAATTGGTGGCAAAGCTGCTATTTGGAGCCATCTTTTTTTAAAAAAAAATACCCTTGATACTGCCAGACTTCTAAGTGGATGGAGGATAACTCTCTGTGACTAGAGATAGAAGAGAGAGCAGTTCTGGAAATGTCTTTCCACCAGAAAAAGTAAAATCAAATTGGCACCTTCAAACTCTGACTACACCTTCCCTTAAAATGTAAAAATGATGGCTGTATGTGGATTTAAAGGGCCTGTCACATCCCACCAGGTGCTTTCCTGACAGCAGTCTCATCTGAAGAGCCCCACCGGATGCTAGATAAGGAATGTGAAATTGACCACGGGTGGGGCTGGGCACTGTGAGAGTCCAAGGCTAGACTTGACAGAGATGACCTTTAAAACTCCGATTTTTGCCAAGTCAGGAATAAAGTAAGGGAGAATATGACAATTTTTATTCATTAGAGAATTCACATTGTCTATCAAAAAGCCCGTGTTTGCTCAGGTGTCGGAGAAATGTATACAAAGATCAAACCCATCCACTTCTCTAAGGTTTTTAAGACCTGGTATGAATCAATAAAAATGAATCTTTCTGACACCTTCAGTGTGAACTACTGTTTTGTTTGTACTTAGCATATGTCTGAGCAAGTGATGTGATAAGTTCGAGTCCCTTCTGCTATCCTTAAAACGTATGTTCCAAATAAGAGAAGCACCTCTTTTTTATTACCATTTCTTAGAGAAAAAAACTTGGTTAATCTGCATAAGTTCCCATCATAGGAGCAAGAAAAAGACGTTTGAGAGAAGAAGACATTGTCCGAGGGAAGGGGTGTTAGGAAGGGACTAAAATGCGGAAAAATGATTCACGGGTGTCGTGTTCTGGGGTATCTGATTCTGAGGAGCTTACAGCTTCATATTTGAGGGGGTTTTTGCCATTCTTTAAGTTATAGAAGGCTGAGAGTAATGCATGTAGCTCTTGTTCACAGAAATGCAAATTAATTTTTCTGGTGGAATACAGTTGATCATCTATCTCCCTGGAATTTTGCTGGCATTCCTGATTGATTGGCTCTCAGCCTTTGTGAGCCAATTTTGGGTGGAATCAATTGACTACCTAATGCTCCCTTCCCAGTTAATGAATTTAATTGGGTACAAGTGTTAATTTCAAAACTTTGGAGTAAAGACATTGCTTTTTAAAAATTACCCTTAAGTCAGGAACGGTGCTGGCATCTAGAACCGATTCTACTGTCTGCTACTCAAATTCAGTCCTCAACAAAACGGATTCCGGTTAAATATCTTTTCTTTTTCTCTTAGCTTCAGACAAGCTTGACCGAGCCCATGACGTTATCCAAATCCATCTCTCTTCCTCGTAGCGCATACTGGCATCACATCACGCGTCAGAACAGCGTTGGAGAAATCTACAGTTTGCAAGGCAAGTAACTTTAAAAACAGCCGAGCAGCTCTGACTGCCATCAGCTTCCCAGGTGGACCAGCCGTCTTGCAAATTGCTCTGCATTTGCAGGGCTCCTTTTCCTCCATTTTCATTTATCGGCTGTCACTGGCCACAGTGGGAACTCCGAGAGACACAGTTGCCTTTTAAAAGCTGTAATTTCATACGCTTGTGGTAAAAATTATTCCAAAAATTACTGTGAGAGCTAAGGATCCAATTTGGCACAAGACCTTGACAAAACACATTATCAGGAGCTAAAAGCTAATGCTGAGATCTGTTTCATGCTGTGTTTTACAAAGGAATTCTATTTTAGCATCTTTTTCCCTTAACAGGATTAAGTACCAGCTCAGGACTGACTTCAGGCTCAGTAATAACAGGCTGCATAAACCTCCCCACAGAAGTTTTGAGGTTCAGAGAAAGCCTCAACCAGGAAACCCTTCAGGGAGGGTGTGGGGGAGGGGGGCCAAGTGTATACACAGTGCTTCTCTATTTCCCCTGATGACTAATTAACAATATGGGAATGACTTGGGAGGTGTCAAGCTAATAGACAACGGATATTTGATCAAAAGCAGCAGAAACCTCTGCTCAGGAGTTGCTTCCTATGCCTTCTCTTTGGTTTTAAAAATGAATAATATTTTCCTTCAAATAAAAGGTTGCGCTACAAGCAGTTGACTAACAGCTGACCCACACTGAAAGAGGACTTTGCTTTCAGCCTAAAAAAAAATAAGGCTGAAACGCACATTTACTCATCTAGCGAACAGTAACTGCACATCAGAGGCTTCAACGTAACAGGCCAACACTTAATACCTGGTGAAGCCATGGCCAGTCATGACCTTGAGCGTGGTTAGGCATTCCAAGGGTTGGCTCCTGTCAGACATTAGCTTTTGTCTGTATGAACAACACTAAAGGTTTTGCAAAAATGCTACGATAAGTAAATTAACATAATGTGAATGTTTTGAGAGCAATGTTCACTTTTCAAAATTTGAAGCCTAGACCAACAGAATTTGATCCATGAGAATGTGTGGTTGAAGAACTATTCCACAAGGAAAGGTAGTTGGAATGATTGTAGCCGCTTACTGAAGGCAAATGCATTTTATATTTTAAATGGCCCTTTACAGTTGTAGTTTAAATGGTCTTCTATGGCCAATTTGATTACCTGTATTGTCTGTATTTCAGACACAGTTGTTGTTTTGTTGTATTGTGTAGTTTTATGAGAAAAAAAAAATAATAAAATAAAAATTAGAGGATTGGGAAAAGCAAAGGGAACTGGTTTGGCAGTTTTAAGAATGAGAAAATGAAGATAAGCTTCTCAGATCTCTGCTTGCTTACAGCAGAATCCCACAGAAAAACGCTGAGTTATGATCTTGTCTAATTAATTTTTCCCTTTCCTGTGATTAGAATGAGAATATTCACTTAAAGTATAAAATTTAGTCATAAATAGACATATGTAAATATTGATATTCACTCAAAGAAAACTAAAACTTTGGAATATTTGAATGAGGAAATTAAAAACATCAGAGTTTCTAAGCAAACAAAAGTATGAGGTGAATAGAAATAGGAATAAATTTTCAATGAAATAATAACTTTGGTTTTTGTCAATGGTTTGGTATATATTTCAAGTAAACAGGAGACAGTTGTTTTGATGGTAGCAAAACTAAAACTTTTCTCTGAAGAGAGAGCTGACATTTAGACTGAAATTCGACTTCAAAGATCATTTCACACCCATCCAAGAAAGATACTGGAGTGTGTTAAAATAGCTTAGAACTTTGCCAGAGACCCTTAAAGGACGAACTTAATTTACCTATTGAGCAAGAAACGCTAACTGACTGGAATTCTCTATGAGGTATCTGATATGAATTTCCAGTAAAGCTAGGGCTTATTAAACAAATGCCTCATCAGTTGCAATGAACAATTTAGTTACATGGTCTCAGCATCACACATTTCTCTGGTTGGTGGGTGGGTTTTGTGTAACAAAAAATATACGTTGACTAAAGTGATTACTGTGTGTCAAATATATAGAAAATGTATGCAGATTATACTCCACTGTACTGTGGGTTGGCTTTTTGCATTACATTTTTCTTTGAACACTACGTTTTGCCATTTTGTATATCTCTCATTGTTACACAGAAAGATAGATATAAAGATGTTGAGGTGGGGGGAAGAAGGGAGGTAGAGAGGAGGTAGATGGACAGGTAGTAGATAATAAATAGACGGAGATAGAAACTGGTTAGTGATGCTTTGGCAATGGTGGTGTTTTGTGGTCTGTTCTTTTGTGGCAGACAAAATTAAGAGACAGACAAAAGTCTCCGTAGTGTTTTTACTGGGACTAGGCCTAATGGAACCAGGGTAGACTAAAACTACTGAAACATAGAAGAAATAAAACAGAAACAGTGAACCTCAGCCCTCTTTCACATAGGTTGACATTTTTTCCCACAAAATTGCGTTTGTAAGCATGGTTGCCTTGTGTCTCACTTCCTGAGTTGTGCTCCTTGAGGTGGCCTTGCTTTCCTGACCAAGAGATCACAGGGGGCTAAGGATCCCAGTGCGCTTTGTGGATCAGGTGCACACCTGGCTGTGGGAGTGTTAGGTCGTGGAGTAAGCCGCAGGTGACTTGGGGGACTCCAGCACATCTGCAGAACTGTCTCCTCAGAGCTTCATGCTCTTTCCTGCAAGGCTGAGATCAGCGTGGATTCAGAGTCCATACTAAGGAGTGGGTTACGTGAATTCCGAATGGATGCTTTCATTTGGAAGGTAAAGGGGAAACATTTTGCATATTCATTTAATAGATTGAGATTTATGAATACGTGGCACACGCACCAGAACCCAGATAACAAATCCAGTCTACGCTAGCACTTACCTGTAACCTCCGCTGCCTGTCACCCTCAAACTTTACTGGATTTTGCTGTATTCATCTCTGTTCTGAATTTTAGATAGATACTCTTTTAAAGGCAGACATATCGATACTGAGGTGCTGCACGACCTGAATGATTGGAGAATTAGTACCACAGAATCGGCCTGATCGCCTCCCACCCCACCCCACTCCCAGAAGGCTGCTCTGAAAGAAGAAGTTATTATGGTCTCCCTGGTGTATTCTAGGAGTCAGGATCAACAGAGTGAGAAGAGGAATCATTAGCTTCTCACACATACCCGTTGCCCTGGTACTAGGCCGCTGCTGTTCACGATCTCTACCCATGTGTCTCCAGCAGGCGGATTTATGCCTTCTCTTCTTGCAGAGTGATAAACACCTTCCTCTTTCTTTTTGCCAGATAGTAGAGATTGATTGGTATTAGGAGGTACTTTTCTATTTATATTTCACTAACTTCCTGTGCACCTATGAAAAATGTTTACATCACACCCATGCAAAGGATGTTATCTGTAGACCTATGGAAACAGAAACCATGAAAGGAGAAAACAAAAGAAAACGAGATTTTGAACTCTTGAATCAAAAGTGAACATTTAAAACCTACCACTTGTTGAATCCTCCGACGGCGGTGACTTTAGCTCTGAGGCCTTGGGGAGTCTGTTGGGAGCATAAGGAAAAGAGAGAAAGAAAGAAACAAAACAGCACGGAAGTCCGATCCCGGGGCTTTTCTTACCCCAGGCTCTCACCTGGACTTAGAGTGGCCGTCCAGCACATTCAGATGACCAGGCGGTACAATGGTGTCTCTAAGTCAGGATTTGCAAAGATAACAAAACATCTGCTGAAAACAACAAATCAAACTAGTGACAATCACTGGTGGCAACAGGGACATTTCAGGCACCAGTGAATCAGCAATGTGTCAGGCGGATGCGTGGGGGTGACCCGGTCAGCACCACCCCTCCATGAGGCTGGACCTGAGGGCCAGCTCGTGTTCTCCTTGGCCCGTGGGGTCTTGGCTAGCGCATCAGCTTCTTGTGGTAGGGTCGGGGCACTTGCTGTTGCCAGTCTCTGTTTTGGTGAGGACAGGGTGTGCCTTCATCCTGGTAGCTCCATTCCCGACCCCTCCCCTGCTGCACCCCACTGGGTCGGTTCTTCTTCAGTCACTGTAGTGAGGCGCAGAGAAGCTGAGACTGTGAGCTGGAAATGGTCCCCAGGAGAGGCTCTCTGGGACTGTGTGCCACTCTTCAGCTTCCCTGATACATGCAATGTCCTCACACAAAATCAAATGGGATGTATACTTGGACTCGTTTCTGAACGACTTCACTGCGTGAGGGAAGATGGTTGGGGGTGCACCTCCTGGAAGGGGTGGGCTCCCGTCTGCCTTCATTAGCCCCCATTAACATCCAAATGCCAGCTCTGAATTGTGCATGTCCCCGCGCCCTCTGTGCATCTGTAATCACACCACAGACCTCGGGTGTCAGCACCGGGGCTCACCTAATTACACAGAGGGCATTCGAGGCTCTCAGAAAGGGCAGCTGGGGCTCCAGTTTCTCAGAAGGACGGGATGAAAACAGGCAAATTAGAAATAGAGATGACCTTCAGAACATGCTAAAGAGAGTTCTTCCATAGATTAGCAAGCAAATCAGCGCATTTATTTGTTCTTGGCTTAGCTGTGACCCTCTGTCCTTCTTACTGCCCATTCAATTTCAAGCTCTCCTAGTACATAAATTGCTTTCATTGACATTTTCTATTTAAATTTTCATTATGGGATATTTTCCAGATTGCAGAATTAATAAAAAAGCCTCCTTTAAGTTAAAAATACAAAAATTTCAATAGAATTAATACAGGAGGCTGTATAGGTTCCCATGCCACCTTCCCAGTACTTGGGGTGTTGGTTCCTGGGTGAATCAGTCATGGCAGTCGGCAATACCCTCAAACATCACATGTTTTCCACGAGGCACAAACTCTTCTGGCGATTTGGCAACACCTTTTTGAAATATGAGTCTTTTTCTACAAGCAACACTTTCTGTCTATCAAACTATATTTATGGACTTTTGCTATATATCTTTAGTTTAAGAGATATAAGCCAAAAGCAAAAAAAAAATGCCTCCCTGGATATCGATTTTTCAGAGATAAGTGAATTAATCGCTCCCCAAAGTAGACATCATAAAAATGCACAAACACACACCCGTGACACGTTCCTTATCTCCTGCAGTTATAATTAATCACTCCTCCTTCTCCTTGTGCCCACAGACATTTATGCATAACTTTATTTGATCAACATGTTTGCTTAAAAACCTGCTCCTTCCACTGGATCTTGATGTAGTAACTTTGTGGATGACTTCTTTGTCCTCATGGTTCAGCCAAATTGGAGGGCACAGTTTTTGTGATGAGGCATCATCCATAGACGTTAAGAGTCCTGAAATTTGGAGTCAAATAAGCCCCAGTGTGAATATGAACTTTACCACTGCTGCTGTTTGACTTTGGGCAGATACTCAGCCTTTCTAAGCTGCTTCTTCCCGCCCCCACACCAGGGAGATGGGCTAGGGGCATGCCTGTTCAATGCCACCTTCTCCACCAGCAGACCACCACTCCCAGCTGCCCTGACTAGAGACCGCAGGTTGCCGAGGACAATTTCTGAACAAGCCATCTGCAGATACTGGGGTCCTTGGAGGGTTCCTTCTTAGGCTCAGCTCTCAGTTTATGGCTCATCAATTTCTATGTAAGATATTCTTAAAGTTGTCAAAATTTCAGTGGTTAAATTTAGCATTGTTCTTAAATTCACCCCCCGCCAAAAAAAAAGCCTATTTTTTTTAAGAAAAAGGAGAAGCGAATTTTAGCATGATCACTTTTATTATTTGAACATATCTATATTAATGTTACAGCTTCTTTAGGGGTGTGTTAAAGAAAGTGAAATAAGTAAAAAGAGAAATCACGATTCACTTCCTAATCTACGGCTTCCTTCCTGGTTCTTAGCACTGAATCCGTCCTTCTGAAGGTAAAGACACACTGGGAGTCAGGAAACTGGAGACCTCATCCAGTTCAGTAAGCTCTCCCAGTTTTGTTCAACTGCACGAAATTTCTCCAAACAGTAAAGGGATGGGGGTGGGTAGGCATTTACCCGGTTTCCAACAGAGTTTGTGTGGTCTGGATGACAACTAGAAAGCATCATGTGTTTGGAAATTCTTTATGGTGAGGGGGTGACCTACCAGGAACAAGGCATTATGCTAGATGTCACCAGTGACCTCCTAGGTGCCACACCAGCTCCTAAGAGGAAACTCCTAGTTTTCTGTGGATGAGAGAACCGTGGTGTCATGTAAACTCAGCTGCCTGGCCCTTCACCTCCCACTGAGTCATGAGGTTTCTTCACAACTTTGACAATTGCCTCTATTTTACAAATAAGAAGGCTGAGGAACAAAACTGCAAAATGACTTGCCTAAGGACAAAGATTAGGATCCTCATCCAAACAATCTTGGTTTCTAGCTCCTTGGCGTTACCCAACTAACCCCTGGCTGACGGAGTTTAAGGCCCGGTGGAATAAAACATCACAGTCTCCATCCTTCTGTCCCAGTACATTCTCGTTGAACCATAATCAAGGTTTACAAGAATGATCTCCCCGACACACAGGCAACAGCGAGTCTCAAATGTGCTTTAAATGAGACAACCCAGATGGAAGCCATCTAAGCAATTCGTGGAAAATCCTCGTGTTTAAAGATGAGT